TAGGGTGGGGGTGACACTGACTTTTGAATACTGGGTTTGGCAGTGCTGCTGCTCTGTTTTTGAAAGGCACAAACAAATTTCAGTTTTCTGCAATAATTCATCCAATCTACACAAACCAATGTATCACACCTATTCATTTAATTCATCAAAGTGCTGTAGTTCTTTAGCAATAAGGGTCTGAAGGAAATGTCAGACACTCAGGGTGGATGAAAATTGATCTTTAAAAAATGATTTAAAAAAATTAAATCAGAGGCTTTTCTTTCACTTGGATTTTTTAATTTGAATTAAATACTTGTTTATCTTTCAAATTAAAATTATGACAACTGATGCTAAGGCATATTAGAATTTAAATTTATATATGTATAACATTCAAGCAGTATATGTTTGCTTCAAAAGTTTTAAAGAAAATCAGATCAATGAAGCGGTGGCAGTCACTGGCTAAGCATCTGGAAGCAGAATTTGTTTAAGGGCTCACTCAGCTTTTGACAGCAATAGCCTCTTCTGCAGGTACAGAGAAAATATTTTATTTGTTACAATGTACCCAACTAGCTGAATTCAATGACTCGTCCATTCAAAGTTGAGAAACCAGTTGGGAGTTGAAAAATCAGGAAAGTTTGTTTTCCACTTCGAACCTGTTGTTAAAAACAAGGTGTGAGAGGATGAGATCTGCCAGCTCTAAAATCTTGAAGGACACGGTGACCAGAAACCGTCAGTTCAATTCACTAACTACAGATAATAGTTCCTTTTTCCTAACAAATCAGATTTGAATGCAAAACATCTTTTAGTAAAGTATTTTTCTCTTCTCTATCCTGTTGTCCAGATCAAGTTACAGTGAAGATGAAGGTTCTTTCATCCTGTCCTAGCTCCGCAGTGAGCACCTCTCTGCCTAATTTGATCATTTTCTTCATTATTTATCACATTCACAAGCTGGAATCAGGTAGGAATCCCACTGGTCCTGCTGCTGCTTGTAGGATTTGTTTCATTGTAGTGATTTATAAATCATGCCTATTCCACTCCTTTGTACAAAATTGAAAAAAAAAACCAAACCAAAAAAAAAAAAAAAACCCAATCCCAAACCCACCCCTACAACAAATTTCAGATTGGCTCAATATCAGTAAAAAAGTCTCCACTTCCTCCCCAACCCTTCTGGAGGAGTGATTCTCCACCTGCTGCATATGAGACAACTCAGTTGCTCTGTGCATCTAGGTACTTGTATCATCATAGTATTTGAGTGTGAGGCTGTATGGAATATGGGTGACCATTTATAATAGCATTGATACCAATATTACAAAATCACAATAACTCTTATAGAAGATATGCCACGAGAAGTAATTATGCCGCTCTACCCTGTGCTGATTAGGCCTCAACTGGAGTATTGTGTCCAGTTCTGGGCGCCACATTTCAGAAAAGATATGGACAAATTGGAGAGAGTCCAGAGAAGAGCAACAAGGATGATTAGGGGTCTGGAAAACATGACCTATGGGGGAAGATTGAAAGAACTGGGTTTGTTTAGTCTGGGAAAGAGAAGACTGAGAGGGGACATAACAGTTTTCAAATACCTAAAAGGTTGTTATAAGGAGGAGGGAGAAAAATTGTTCTCCTTAACCTCTGCTGATAGGACAAGAAGCAATGGGCTTAAACTGCAGCAAGAGAGGTTTAGGTTGGACAGTAGGAAAAACTTCCTAACTGTCAGGGTGGTTAGACATTGGAATAAATTGCCTAGGGAGGTTGTGGAATCTCCATCATTGGAGATTGTCTAACCTGCTCTTAAAAATCACCTGTCAGGGATGGTCTAGATCAGGGGTAGGCAACCTATGGCATGCGTGCCAAAGGTGGCATGTGAGCTGATTTTCAGTGGCACTCACATGCCCAGGTCCTGGCCACCGGTCCAGGGGGCTCTGCGTTTTAATTTAATTTTAAATGAAGCTTCTTAAAAATTTTAAAAACGTTATTTGCTTTACATATAACAGTAGTTGAGTTATATATTATAGACTTATAGAAAGAAACCTTCTAAAAATGTTAAAATGTATTACTGGCACGCGAAACCTTAAATCAGAGTGAATAAATGAAGACTTGGCACACCACTTCTGAAAGGTTGCCAACCCCTGGTCTAGATGGTGCTGGTCCTGCCATGAGTGCAGGGGGCTGGACTTGATTACCTCTCGAGGTCCCTTCCAGTTCTATGATTCTATTGTAAGGTATCGGTGGAAAAGGCTTGATTTGCTAAATATGATAAGTTTGTTTATAGGTCTGTGTCATCTTTGTATGGTGAGATATAAATGTGTGGTATATTTGTGTCTCAAACTTGTGCTGTGCATTTGGGTGAAACCCCCAGACAGACCGGCATCAGCACTATCCAGCCTGCTGTAGAATGCACCAATGAGAGAAGCCCAGGGCTATGATTCAGCAGGACATGTAGACAAGTATCAGAGGGGTAGCCGTGTAGTCTGTATCCACAAAAACAACGAGGAGTCCGGTGGCACCTTAAGACTAACAGATTTATTTGGGGAAAGCTTATGTCCAAAATAAATCTTAGTCTTTAAGGTGCCACTGGACTCCTTGTTGTTTTTCAGGACACGTA